TTTTAATATTTAGATCTTTAATCCATTTTGATTTTAGTTTAGTGCATGGGCATCACCTCATTTCTAAAAAGCCTCCTCCTTCCACTGCCCTGTGCACACCATGAAACCTGGCAAGATCACGTGTCCTCATGTGGCCCAGCCATGAGGGCTGCAGTCACCAGCAGGGCTGAGCTCTGCATGCTTCGCTATCTAGAGAACCCAGGCAGCAGGGCACAGTGCACCATTCTGCCCTGATAAATTCTCTTTTTCTATGGGTGACATCGGCAGGTTCAAACAGCAAAGGGAGCCTTTGGATTATTTAAAAGCATCATATTTCCAGACCTCAATTTCTTCATCCATAACCTGAAGGAAATAACGCTTTAATGAAAATTAATAGAAGGTTATCAAGGACTTTTCAGATTTTCAGATATACCGTTACTTAAAGATGTTACTGTAAATGCCAGTATCCCCAACTTTAACTTCTCCCCTAACACTTCACTGGGCTCAGCAGAGGCCGGTCTGAAAGGAGGAATTGCGTTTTCCACCTGTAATTGAAGTTGCTGATTCTCTCAACCATCTTTTTAGTCACTCTCGTCACTCTCCTCACATCCTTGCTAGGCCATGTTCGTGGGCATCCCTGCTTTGCTGCTGCTTTTGTGTCAAATGATTCTCTGCATTGTCCTCTGCTCCCACACACTCAGGGAATCAGGGAAATGACAGGGAGGTGTTCTCCAGCTCTTGTAGAGTCATCCCCCAGATGTCTTCACACCCTGAGTGCCTGGGGGTGACTACAGATCTTAACAAGCCAGCCAATGTTAACCGCTTTCCATTTTTCCCTTTTCCTTTTTATTACAGCTTCTCAGAAAGTTGATGAGGTGAAATATTCACCAGCAAAGGAAATAATATAAAGCTTCAAAGTCATTTCTGATGGAATGTTGAAATAATTCCACTACTTTTCTTTGAGTAAGAAAATAATAATAAGACAACCTGAGGCAGGCTCTGGGGATTTCACTATTGATAGATTTGAGGGAAACATAATGGCTTCAGATGAACAGGTTTTCCTTTTAACTGGATAGAGCTCTTTGGGATGAATAGACAGGTGCTAGACAATAGAATAAACTTGGCACCAGCTTATTTACATAATTTGTATAGAAATGCACCGGTGTATGAAGTATAAAGTGATTGTGTTGAATAGTGAAAATAAAGCATTTTGGAAAACAATCTATGTTCACTATCCAGCTCTAAAATAACTGAACATTTTATGAAATACTTCATGTTTCTTTGTGAAAATGACTGGTGGTTCAAGACCTGTGTGTGTATGTGTGCATTTTTAAGAAAATACAATCTCCTATGCTATTGTTTAAAGTAATTCTTAAGAATGCATTCTCTAAGAAGAGGCAACATGGGCTGGTAGAGGGGCTGGGCTGGGAAGAGGAATGTTTGCACCTTTCTCTGATGCAGTATGGACTACTCACCATTTCTTTGTGATTAAAGGCTATCAGGAGGGCTAGAAAAGTGTGTGAAGCAGAGATTATAAACAGCAATTTTTGCAGGCCAAATTGCTTCCTAAATGAAGGAGTAGGAGATTTAAAGGTGAACATAACTGTCTCTTTAGCAGCATGCAGAGGTTTGTTCTGTGTGAGAAATGAAACCCTAACTCCCTTTTGACAAGTATTCCTTAACAGGCTTCCCAGATATCTGAAACCAATTTTAACCCACTCTGGTCCTCCACTGACCACCACACTACCAGAATGGTGTGGTCCGATCTCCAGGCTCCTCACCAGTCCTCAGGCCTATGGGGTGAGTAAACATCCCACAAGGGACAAGCTCGGTGCATACTGATGAGCCCAGGAGCCTCAGGGTTGTTATTCCTTGGCTTGAGCAGGGAGCATTTTTTAAATATGCTACACCAAGAAGCATTTCTCTTCTCTTTTCAATTGTTGCTGATGTTGGTTTATTCTTCCTTTATTTTATTGTTACCAATATTTTTAACCATAACATGAGCTTAGAAAATGTAAACGAAGTAATGTGTGCTCACAAACTGCTGAGTTTTGAAGTTTTGAATATTAGGCCTATGCTTTATAGCTCAAAGGAGTGGAATAAAAAAAATGCCAAGAAGCAGTTAGAATCATTACCGGCAAATCAGTGTCGGGCAATTGGAGAAGAGCAGAGCCTTAGGGTTGGAAGTACCCTTAGAGGTTGTGCAGCTGGCCGCCCCCTTGCATAAATATAGAACACACATCTCAGATATGTGCAAGGCACAGGGACCTAAAGCAATTTCTCAAAGTGTGGTCCTTAGCCCAGAAGCCTCAGAATCTCTTGGGAACCAGTTAGAAATGCACATTCTTAGGCCCAAGCCCAGAAACTGTGAGCCTGGGTCCCAGCAATCTGTGTTTCAACGGGCTCTGCACACTCTCCTGGTGCAGGCCAAAGCAGGAATCATGCCTTATTACACCTGGACAGTGCCCATCCTACATGTTATTTGTGTGGCCTTCCCAGAGCCTGTAGAAACTGAATTGAGACCTCAGCTCTTTCCTGCAAGAGAACCACTGTATGAGAAAGATTATGATTAGTCAGTATTGTTAGTTTCCAACATTAACTGCTATGATAACTTCCAACTATTTCTAGCCTTGTGACATTCATCCCCAGAAATACGCTGAGAAGGGAACTTTTTAAGGTAAAACATAACAGAAATTGCACTTTGAGACTTTTGTGATAGGCAGGAGCACTACAAAACCCCATGAGACTCCCTCTCTACTTTGGGGCCACAGATTCTAACTCCTAACTCCTCTAAACCCTAGTTGGTACCAATGTTAGAAAAAGCCATCTAATTCCATTTCATTCTCTGAACCCAAGGAGCCACTTAATTGGCATGTGTTCTGTAACAGCTCCCATTTTGGGCCTGTAGAATTCTCTTGACTGGGTAGAGCCAAGTTTCCAATGCTGACTCAGGGAAATGTGACCCATGCCCAAGCAGAAACCAGCCAAGGCAAGACACGGCGGTTAAGAAAAGGAAAAGGGATGTTGTGTTTTCTTACACAGTGGGACTGCTGATGTCTTCTGACTTCATCATCAAGTAACCTGTCTCTCCCTTTATCTTTCCAAAACTAGGAACAGTTAAAAGAGGATGACGTGGACTGCATTGTGAACCAGGACGAACTAGCCATGACTTTTCAGGAGCAAACCTCCACACCCTGCAGTCCTCCTCCAGGGCCAGATCTGGACCATAAAGCTTCACCCCAGACTTCAAGCAAAGAAAATATCTATGAGGGAGACCTGGGCCTAGGAGGCTATGAACTCAAGCTTGAGAAGTCTCCAGGCCAATCCCAGACAAATTAATTGGCATGAAGAGTACAGATGTAATCCCAAGTAGGGCAAGGCACACTAAGGACCACAAGCCAAGATGACGAGGCCATGTAGGGGAGAGGCTGGAAAATGTATTAAGAGCATACATTGGAGATAATCAAAACCTTGTCTGGTGCCTGCAGAAATGAGAATTTATTATCATCCTTCTGTATTATGCAGTTGAATTTAAAAGCAGCCATTTTTACTGCTGGACTGGGTGGGGTGGGAAAGGGACATCAGGAACCAAATGTGCTGGTACAGGGCATATCCATTCCGTGGACAGCTCTCCAGGCCCTTTGCTTGGATTCTGAATTTTATTCCTTTCATTAAGGAGAGTTAAAAACAAGAAAAAGAGCTTCTGAACATAAGCACATTTTGCCTACCTTGAAGGGAAGGTCTACTTGTTTAGTAAGTGATAAGTTTTATATTTTTAGGACTTGACTCCCTCTTGCTCTAAACGCCTCCTGGGACTTTGTACAGATCCAGGGAAGTGTTCAGTGCCCACTTCTGATGGCATCATAGAACCTGCACAGAATTGGGAACCTATAGTTCTAGTTGGCATCCTTTTCACACTGCTCCTGCCCTTGTCGAAGGGATCATGCACAGCAGGGTGTGCTTTTACTAAATGCACTGTCACTTTCTGGCTGGCTGGGAACCCTTGCAGGGAAAGCTGGTTTCTTTCCAACATGATGTTATACCTGCAGAATGAGCCTTCCTTCCTTACTTGCTTCCACTTCTTGGCTCTGCAGTGAGGCCCTCCTGTATGCCGGGTAATAAGATTTCACTGCAATAATTGCTCTCCACGTGGCAGGAAACTGTGTGTGAACCCCAGCCTGTCCCCCAGTGCAAAACTCACAGCTGGTTAGCAGCACCAGAGAGGGGCTGGTAATGAATGGGTCATCCCAAGGAGCCAGGGAGAAGACATCACAATTGCCTCTTACGAGGCATGGCTCATGGGCCATGTTGGAGAGAACAACACAATAGCTTTTAATTCTGGTGCATGGCCTGTGCCTTTGAAGCCAGAAGATACCTCAAGCCTAGCTTCTCTTGAAACACAGATGTTAATAGTAGACTCCAGGCTTGGCATGGTGGTGCATGCCTGTAATCCCAGCACTCAGGAGGCTGAGGCAGGAGAATCACTACAAGTTCGAGGCCAGCCTGGGCTACATAGTGAATTCAAGACCAGCCTGAACTCTTCTTTTTTTAAAAAAAAGAGAGAGAGAAAGAGAGAGAGAGAGGGAGAATAGTAGACTCCAAAAAGCAAGCTCCATTTGAGCGAGGCAGAGAATGATGCCTTCCTTAATCCCAGTGTTTAAATTAATGTATGCTTTGAGTACCACTTGTTAGGCCTTAAACATTAACTGTGGTGGTATTGGGCATACTGCTGTGTGCATCAGTTTTCTTGCTTTCCAAATAGTAGATTCTGGGGGAACAAATTGTTTTATACTCAACTAAGTATAGTCTTGTCATTCCAGGTAAAAATGACAAGTGGGGAAGCATGATGTTTTTTAATTTCACTTAATCCTAATAAAATTTTGTTATTACATGTGATTGATTTGGCTAATGGTTTATTCAAGACATCTTCTTTGTCCGGGCTAAGTGGCAGCTCTGGGTGAAGTGGGTACCAAAAGCTAACATGAGGGAGATGCAGGGGGTTCCAGGATCCAGGCACAGCCAGAGTGGCTGGTGCAACAAGACACTAAGGAATGAAGAAGCAGCGTTGGGCTAGGAGGATTCCCCAGAGAAGGGAAACGGAGTCAAACAGAGTGGCATAACTTCTTCCTTCTCACTGGAGGTGACCAGACTTTATGAAGAGCTATAAAATTAGATGGAGGAAACACTAAAGGATGAAGGAAAGAAGGGCAGAAAATAAGGATTCATCTTGTTTCTGCCTCCAGAAGGTAAAAGGAATTTTTTATTTCTTTATTTTGTATGAAGGAAGACATAACAGGAAAAGAGATTCCTCCCCACAAAAAAACAAACATTACTGGAGGCAGAAGTGGAGAAGAGAGGGAGAAATATGACTTAGAACATGGACATGAGATAGGTGAGGAGGGGAGGGTACACAGTCTAACACAGAGCAGCTCCCTAAGAGGGCACAGCAAAAACAGGCTGCTGCTGTCCAGACAAAGCCTTTTCCTGCTTGGAAACAAAATCTCCTCATGACTGAACATCACGAATCACTGCTAACAAGGAGAAGGGAGTACTATTTATGCAGATTGACCCCAAGTAGGTCTGACACCATGAGTCTGAAGAAATTGGGCCCGCCTAGTCTGCAGTACAGTGTTCCAGCTTCAACGTGTGATTCTCTGGCTCTTCCCCTGAATCAGACCAGGACCCCATCAGAAGCCAGTGTCCCAGTTAAGCAGTTCATACAACCAAATTCCTGTTATGCTCCTGTTGTGAACGATAATAATTTGTGATCTTAAGAAATTCTCTGTGCTTTGATTAGCAACCCCCAAGACTGTGAAATTCAAACCTATTATTTACTGCCAGTTTCTAATGAATAATAAAGGCAAAGGAGCTTTATTCAAACTACTAATTCTTCCACTCATTGTTAGAGCTCCAAACAGCACTCTAATTGTTTATCTGACTTGAGCTGCTCTCCATGCATACATCACACATACATTCACGGGTGATGCACATGTATGAGCTCTGCTCCTATCGGGGTCTCAGCTGGGCCTCAATGGTGTCCCCTGTGAGGTGTGGATGTACCTGAGCAACTCTGAAGCCTTGTAGAAAATGCTCATTAATCATGAAACTTCTAGAAACTTCTTAGAGAGCAATTTAACAGTATAAATCAAAGCTAAAAATGTAAATACCCTCTAACCCACCAATTTCATGTGCAGAACTTTTATTCTAGATATGTGATAAATTATACATAGCAAAAGTATTTAGTAAAACTGAATTGCCATCCTTGCTAAATAAATCATAGAACAACCATTTCATAAAACAGCACCATATGTACTGATAAATCTGACTACTTAAAAATATGAAAAAGTATAACACACAATAAAACAAATTTAAAAACAAGAAAACTGAGACAAAATACATTTACATACTTTTTGTATGTGTATGGGTGTTAGACTAAGGATTATTCTTCAGAATATACAAAGAACTCTTATCAATGAATGATAAAAGAAAGAACTACCAAGTAAAAAAGTGCTGAGATTATATAGCTTTAAATATGAACGTCTTCAATCCAGAATTTCTACTTTCAGGCTTCTATGTAGAAAAATAAATACTTGACATTTGTGTGTAAGGTGGTATATGAAATGACATTCATTGTGGCACTCTTATTGCAAAATATTGGGGGAGGGAACTATCCATCAATAGCAAATGAGTTAGCTAAATATACCCATTCTACAGATTACTCTGCAGCAATCGATTACACTCTGTATAGAGATCACTCTATATCCATGTATGCAGGTGGAACATTTCCAAGATATATTATCAGTGAAAAAGTACCAGGCTGATAACCAAAAAAGGGGCAGGATTAGAAGGGCTGGTTTAGAGAATCATTTGGGCTATCTGTATTATTGTTTAATTTTATAATAATGCTATAATTGTGATTTTCCTGTTTGTTAAAAGAAAAATATGAAAAATATAAGTAATAAAGTAATGTAGGTTTCTTTCCCTGAAAAGAAGATCTAGCCAGAAAATAATCAGCTTTGGCATATGTGCGCCAAAGCAAGGACAAAAATAATCAGCTTTGGAAACAAGAGGTCAAAAATGCCATCCCAAAACAGCCTGTCCTTGCTTTACCTACCATCACTATTCTCTTGCTCAGTGGCTACTCTGTAAGGCAGGTAAGGTTGATGGGAGATGACATTTGTTTTTTATTCTTAAGTTCTTTTATTGGTACATTTTAGGTATACAATACGTTTACATTTATCGTTGGGTGTTTGTACCTGTACATGACGTATCTTGATTTTTACTTTTTCCCCATTACCTATACGATCTTCACCGCCTCCAGCCTTCCCTATTTACAAAGACTTCGTTTCTGGGGGTTTTTTCTCACAATTTTTCCTTTCCCTTCTTTGCTTTCCCCTTGCCCTCCCTTCACCCCTACCTCTTTGAACCTTTTTTTCCTATTTCAAATTATATATTATTCATTTAAATCATTTTAACCCTTATTTACACTTTCAGTTTTTCACACTAGAGAAACTATTTGGTATTTACAAATGTGGGTCCTATTTATTTCACTTAAGAGTATGGCCTCGATATGCATCCATTTAGCTATAAATGACTCTAGTTTCTCGTTCTTCATGGCTGAGTGGTACTCGACTTTATTTTTAAAAATCCACATCTTCTTAATCCAGTTTCCAGTTAATGGGCACTTGCTCTGCTTCCAACCTTTATCTATTACAAACTGTGTCGCTATAAACATGGGTGGGCATATATCTCTGTGGTATGATTCTTTTAATTGTTTTGGGGGTTTTTGGTACCAGGGATCGAACTCAGGTCCTTGCGCTTGCGCAGCAGGCGGCGAAACCACTGGGCTAAATCCCCGGCCCTCTTTTAATTGTTTTGGGAAGATACCCACCAGGGGAATAGCTGGGTCAAATGGGACCTCCAGCCCTAGTTCTTTGAGGTACCTCCACACTGATTTCCATAGTGGTCGCACAAGTCTGGACTCCCACCAACAATGGAGAAGGGTTCCTTTCTCTCCACACCCCCGCCAGCATTTGTTATTGGTTGATTTCTTGATAGCAGCCATTCTT